TGTCGGTGTGCACATGCATGTGTGGACGAGGGTAGTGCAGAAGGGACATGGGACACTCTAACCCCAAAGCTTTCTTTCTTTTTTTTTTTTTTTTTTGAGAGATTTTCACTATAGGGCACGTTTGCTCGCCAGACAGAGAGAAACAGAGAGACAGAAAGTGAGAAATCACCCCCCAGGGGGGATGGTCACGCCGCAATCCCTTCTCCTCCATTCTCCTCTCGGAATCTTGGGCACACACACACACGCACCCGGTGTGAGTTTTAAGCCAATGGGGCCGGGACGCAAACCGCAGTCGACTACGTGGGAGTCCAGCAACATAGCCATTACGCTAACTGCTGGTTCCCTAACCCCAGCTTTCTCACCTCCTGACTTCTCTACCCAAGTAAAAATTAGCCACATGTGTCTGCCTCTCATTCTCTGAAAAAATATCCTCTGAATGACTCTGTACAGTAGTTTCAGGAATATTCTTTTAATATGCCTGATCTTGCTTGGCTCTATCCACTGTGAAACTAACCTTTACTTGCATATTTTGATCTTCCTTTTCAGAAGAGAAAGGTAGAGGACAAAGAATAATCCATTCTAGAAGGTTATAACCAGGTCTGGTCAGAGAACTGAAGGCCTACTGAGTAATGGCTTATAAATACTCCCCCCCCCCAAAAAAAAAAAAATCAGCCATGGGACCAGCAGTTGGTGTAATGACTATGTCACTGCAGTCCCATGTAGTCAACTGCGGTTCGAGTCCTGGGCTCGGTGGCTTAAACTCACGCTGGGTGCGTGTGCATGCATGCCCAGGATATTGAGAGGAAAATGGAGAAAGGATTGCAGTATGGCCATTCCCCCCAAAACCCTCCCCGCCCCGTGGGGTGATTTCTCACTTTCTGTCTCTGTCTTTCTGGCGAGTGCACACCCCCTTATAGCAAAAACCTCTCAAAAAGAATTAAAAAAAAAAAAAAAGCAGCCATAAGTTAAAATTATGTTATGACTCCAGCCTTAAAGCATTTTATACTGTATTTTTATGACTCCAGCCAGCCTTAAAGCATGTTATACTGTATTTGAAATAGACAAGACTTTAATCAGTCTCCTCAGTATCAAAACACAGACTGGTTAGTAATTCAATGATTTACATAAGCCCCAGATAAGAAAAGCCATCAGACTACATGCCATCTCTACCCACCCTCGCCATCAGACCTAAGAGGGTATTGGGTAGTGTGGGCACGGGTAGTGCAGAAGTGGCATGGGGCACTCTAACCCCAAAGCTTCCTACCCACCTCCTCACTTCTCTAAGTAGAGAAGTGGAGCAGATTCTAGTTAAAAATGACTAGAACCCAGGGGTCACTAGTCTTTGTTCCTGAAGTTAATCCAGAATGGATAATGTTCTTCATGATGACTAGAGACGGCAAAAGGAACAAAGAGATATGTTAAGGCGGTCACTGAGACTGGGTTCTTACCACGCATGAAATGAAATTCTGTCTAGAACAGTGTTTAAAATGGTGCAAATGTTGCTAAGCATATTTTTTAAAAAAATAATTATTTTATTCAACTTAATTTTATTTAATTTGACTAGAGAGGGACAAAGTGAGACAGAGAGAGAGAGAGAGAGAGTGAGAGAGAGAGCAAGCTACCAGGTCCAGGACTTGAACTGTGGTTGCCCACGTAGGAGTCCAGTGCCCTTAACCACCATGCCACCTGCTGGCCTTGCTAACTGGATTTGAGATAGCAGTTCAGAGAACATTTATGGCAGTTTATCATTGACTTTAAAGCAACAGCTTTGAATGTGTTTGCTATTTCAATGACTTAGAACAATTAATTTTAACCTACAATGCTTCACATAATGGTCAAAGTATAATAAATCTGAACGGATTTTAGCAGGTGTCTAGGTATTAGTTCTAGAAGCTATGATAGTCTTTGGAATTCATCAAATCAGAGAGCATAACCCAACTCTTAGATGAAATATGAGTATCTATCTCCAGAAAGAAAAGACACACACATTAACTACAGTAGATTAAATACACTGAAATAACTTGGCAGTTTAAATACTTTGATGAATCGTACCAAATTCAAACAGGCTGACATTAGTCAGTGTTGACTCATTTAACTAGAAAGTCCAATGGAAGATGCAGTCTCAGACGAGGGTGGTCTGTTGGTTCAAGTTTTTGATTCCCATCTCCCCATAGTGCCGTCCAACGTCAGCTTCATCCTAAGTCTGGCTCTAGTCAAGATTGTGTCATAGCTGTCGGAAGAAATAGAAGCCAAGTATTTCCTCTTCCACATCTAGGAAGAGTGCATGCTTCCACCTGAGCATTCCACCTAGAACACTGTGTCTACCATGACTGCAGCAACTCACAGCAGGTGTCCCTCACTAAGGTGTGCAGCCAGGGAGACGGTTCATGTCCACTGGTTTCTCCAGTCAGGACCATGCCTGGAGCTGGGGATAAAGTCACTTCCTGCGGTCATGGATTATGCAAAGGACATTTACTAGCAGGAAAACGGGGCGGGTGGGGAAGAGAGGAAGAATGAATAGCAGGTGTCTACTACACGGGTTTCTGGCCTGAAAGGCACCAGCAAGCTGCTGCTGTATTTACTGAAAATGACCGTTAGGATGACCAGTAAGAAAACCATTTCCAGATTGCAAACTAACCACAATGACAACAGAATTCCAAGACCGGTATGATTCTTTTATTATTATTATCATTGCATTTGACTTAAGATGGTTCAATGATTTCATTTTCATTTATAAGCATTACATTAATACCCATGCAAAAACCCAAGACAGCATATGCCTGATTTCAATTGGCCCAAATCCTATCTATGAGTCTGGACATTCAAGACTAAAACCAAAATGTTTGACATTTCCATTAGTAGACATCATGGGCACCCTGACCCCTCAAACAGCAGTTTGCCATGAGTCCATCCAATACAGGGGCCAAGGCCTTGCAGCACCTAAATCTGGCAAGTAATTCCATTCTTTTAAACAGGACACCTCTACATTAAGAGCGCCACTCACCGATATTTCCTGGTTCCTGCTCTACAGCAAAATTTGCTTTTGAACAAACATGGTATTACGAATTGGGGATTACGAATTCTCCCTATTATTTTCCCTCAAAACCCTCAGGAGAAGTAAAGGACTCTGTGAAAAGGCTTACCTCTCTAACCCCAAAAGAAATAAATATAAAAACACTTTATCAGGTATATATTTTCCCCAGCTTTAGACAGAGTCGTTTAACAGGTATAAAACTTTAAAAATTTCTCTCAGTAAGGAGGGAACCAGGAATATCTAAGGGGGCAAAACAGGACCCCGTAATTAAAGGAGAACTAAACAAATGCAAGAATCATTCTATTGATGGAGAGAAATGGGCTAAATGAAAAAATAATAGCATTTCAAGCGTGGGTGTTAATTTATATCGAAATACACATTGCAACTCTGACAATGGCAAAAACTTCATTAGTGCAAATAACAATTATAATGGTATGTTCTTTAATAGGATTTAAATAAGGCTTCAAATAATTACACACACTGAAACTAACATTTGGAAATCTTACTTCTAGCTGGAAAGCTGTCAAACACCCTCCAAACCATCCAACGCTCTCTGATTGGACGATGATTACATTCAGTGGAGTCGCTCCAAAATACAATTTGTAGCATTATCACTTTCAAAGTTTACATTGTTTGGTGGACTACTCTGGCCACTGGTCAAAAGAAAGAAATCCAGCTAGCATGCCAGGCAGTTCCCACGTTCGCGAGATTCTCTAATATTGACAGTGGTGAACGCTCCTTTTAAAAATACAGACCAAAAAAAAAAAAAAAAAAACCACCAGAAAATAATAAAATCTTTAACTGTCAGAGGGATGTTTCCTCATGTCCATTAATAAATTTGCACAAAGCATGAAACGAAAAAAAACAAAAAAAAACAAAGAAAGAAGTCCATAGGGAGAGAGCGAGAGAGAGAGCAAGCTACCAGGTCCAGGACTTGAACTGTGGTTGCCCACGTAGGAGTCCAGTGCCCTTAACCACCATGCCACCTGCTGGCCTTGCTAACTGGATTTGAGATAGCAGTTCAGAGAACATTTATGGCAGTTTATCATTGACTTTAAAGCAACAGCTTTGAATGTGTTTGCTATTTCAATGACTTAGAACAATTAATTTTAACCTACAATGCTTCACATAATGGTCAAAGTATAATAAATCTGAACGGATTTTAGCAGGTGTCTAGGTATTAGTTCTAGAAGCTATGATAGTCTTTGGAATTCATCAAATCAGAGAGCATAACCCAACTCTTAGATGAAATATGAGTATCTATCTCCAGAAAGAAAAGACACACACATTAACTACAGTAGATTAAATACACTGAAATAACTTGGCAGTTTAAATACTTTGATGAATCGTACCAAATTCAAACAGGCTGACATTAGTCAGTGTTGACTCATTTAACTAGAAAGTCCAATGGAAGATGCAGTCTCAGACGAGGGTGGTCTGTTGGTTCAAGTTTTTGATTCCCATCTCCCCATAGTGCCGTCCAACGTCAGCTTCATCCTAAGTCTGGCTCTAGTCAAGATTGTGTCATAGCTGTCGGAAGAAATAGAAGCCAAGTATTTCCTCTTCCACATCTAGGAAGAGTGCATGCTTCCACCTGAGCATTCCACCTAGAACACTGTGTCTACCATGACTGCAGCAACTCACAGCAGGTGTCCCTCACTAAGGTGTGCAGCCAGGGAGACGGTTCATGTCCACTGGTTTCTCCAGTCAGGACCATGCCTGGAGCTGGGGATAAAGTCACTTCCTGCGGTCATGGATTATGCAAAGGACATTTACTAGCAGGAAAACGGGGCGGGTGGGGAAGAGAGGAAGAATGAATAGCAGGTGTCTACTACACGGGTTTCTGGCCTGAAAGGCACCAGCAAGCTGCTGCTGTATTTACTGAAAATGACCGTTAGGATGACCAGTAAGAAAACCATTTCCAGATTGCAAACTAACCACAATGACAACAGAATTCCAAGACCGGTATGATTCTTTTATTATTATTATCATTGCATTTGACTTAAGATGGTTCAATGATTTCATTTTCATTTATAAGCATTACATTAATACCCATGCAAAAACCCAAGACAGCATATGCCTGATTTCAATTGGCCCAAATCCTATCTATGAGTCTGGACATTCAAGACTAAAACCAAAATGTTTGACATTTCCATTAGTAGACATCATGGGCACCCTGACCCCTCAAACAGCAGTTTGCCATGAGTCCATCCAATACAGGGGCCAAGGCCTTGCAGCACCTAAATCTGGCAAGTAATTCCATTCTTTTAAACAGGACACCTCTACATTAAGAGCGCCACTCACCGATATTTCCTGGTTCCTGCTCTACAGCAAAATTTGCTTTTGAACAAACATGGTATTACGAATTGGGGATTACGAATTCTCCCTATTATTTTCCCTCAAAACCCTCAGGAGAAGTAAAGGACTCTGTGAAAAGGCTTACCTCTCTAACCCCAAAAGAAATAAATATAAAAACACTTTATCAGGTATATATTTTCCCCAGCTTTAGACAGAGTCGTTTAACAGGTATAAAACTTTAAAAATTTCTCTCAGTAAGGAGGGAACCAGGAATATCTAAGGGGGCAAAACAGGACCCCGTAATTAAAGGAGAACTAAACAAATGCAAGAATCATTCTATTGATGGAGAGAAATGGGCTAAATGAAAAAATAATAGCATTTCAAGCGTGGGTGTTAATTTATATCGAAATACACATTGCAACTCTGACAATGGCAAAAACTTCATTAGTGCAAATAACAATTATAATGGTATGTTCTTTAATAGGATTTAAATAAGGCTTCAAATAATTACACACACTGAAACTAACATTTGGAAATCTTACTTCTAGCTGGAAAGCTGTCAAACACCCTCCAAACCATCCAACGCTCTCTGATTGGACGATGATTACATTCAGTGGAGTCGCTCCAAAATACAATTTGTAGCATTATCACTTTCAAAGTTTACATTGTTTGGTGGACTACTCTGGCCACTGGTCAAAAGAAAGAAATCCAGCTAGCATGCCAGGCAGTTCCCACGTTCGCGAGATTCTCTAATATTGACAGTGGTGAACGCTCCTTTTAAAAATACAGACCAAAAAAAAAAAAAAAAAAACCACCAGAAAATAATAAAATCTTTAACTGTCAGAGGGATGTTTCCTCATGTCCATTAATAAATTTGCACAAAGCATGAAACGAAAAAAAAAAAAAAAAAAAAAAAAAGCAAGAGGATTCATGGGCATTTTCATCTATGGCTCAAGTTCTCCTTAGAAAACAAAAAACAAACTATGTGACAATAACTACAAAAAGTAAACAACCACAAAACCAGAGGCAGAATATGAAATAGTCATTGTCTCTGTTTCAGAGCCTGCACCATCCTGCAGAACCAGGAAACTTAAAATTTGTTCTTAACAAATCCAATCTAGGCTGGATATGTAAAAAACAGAAAGACAGCATCACAAACCACACTACACATTATGAAGAGTTTTAGAACCAGCAAAAAGGAACAGTCAGCAAAATCCTCAGAAAAATTTATCATCGATTCTGAAATGGGGCCGTGTGACATCGTCAGGGTTGATAAAGACAGAGATGGACTTTCCGGGGTTCTCAGTCACCAGCTGCTGCAGTTTTTTGGCCAAACGGTCATCAGGCTGGTTGGGGTCTCCTCCGTCCGACTGCGGGGAGGGGATGTTGGTGGTGCTTCCTCGCCTCTGCAGCTCCAGCGTCAGCCGATTGGCTGCCTTGACGTGCTCGATGGCCGTACGCAAGTGCTCCGCGGGGTCTGAGCGGACAGAGGACAGCTTCCGGGCGTGCAGCATCACCGTCTCTTCCGACAGGTGCTCTAGCATGTTGCACTGCGGGATGAAATAATTGGGGCACATCTTGTTGACCAGACAGTGTTGCAGGTCGTCAATGAGGCCCAGCAGAAAGTGGGCCGCATAGTCTTCTTGAGCCAAGTAGTTGGCGGGAAGTCTGTCGCAGGCCCAGAGCATCATGCTCCTCAGGTGATAGGGGCTGATAGCCTTGGGCCGAGACAGGAGTTTAATGATAATGGCTTTGCAGGCCTGGTAGGCCTGCATGAGACTGCTAGAGATGCACTTCTTCAACTGCACCTCGCTCCTGGCAAAGGACAGCCGCCATTCATTGTCCTTCTTGCCCTTGTAGGAGCAGGCAGGCACCAAGTAAAACCCACTAATGACCTCCTCCTCCGTAATCTTCCCATCCCAAAAGTGGTTCTCCATGAGCCAGCTCTGGGCCACAGCAGGCCAGCCTTTGAAAGACACCACTGGGACGATGTCGTACAACATGCGACTGCTCCCGACACCCAGGATGATGGAGATGATGGTTCCATTTTTTTCGACCTTTTCCACCTTTGGCATCCCTCGCTGGGGTTTCTTCTGTATCTCTGACAGCACGATGCTGATGGAGTCGTAGAACCAGTCAGCCACTTTGGTAGGGGAGAAGAAGTAGTTGGTAGCGCCATTGATATGATCCACGATGGTGCAGCAGTCTTTCCACTTACTGATCGTCCCCTCGTCAAAGAGTCGGAGGCTCAACCAGGAGTGGCACAAGGCTGAGTGGCGCATATCAAGTGTCACAGGCTGATTACGGTCATGCAGCTTAAGGGCCGGCACCAAAAGAGTGAAGTCCATGTCATAGTCGGTGCCCCGGGCATAGACATTGAGCTCATCTAAGTCCAAGTCCACCACACCTTCCCGGACTCCTCCAGAGAGCAACAGGTACTCATTAGCCACTGGAAGTTTTTGGTCCAACTTTTGCACCATTCCTAGGAACAAAAAGAGAAAATACTATTATAGAAAACATGGATACGAGGGTCTCAGGCATTGATATAGAACGCTCTGACCTTCTAAGAACTGTGACTTATTATTAGTATGAGACCAGATCTCAGGCTGCTGCACAGACCTGGCTAACAGGACTTGGTTCTTTCGCAGCGCTAGACTGTACTCTGGAAAGAATTACAGTAGGTTTTTCCTCCCACAGTGAAAAGCAGTATTAGTTTCAATCATAAGCCAAGGCTCCTCTGAACCCAGTTCCTACCTGTGTTAACGGTACTGTCATCCACCTAGACACCTGCGGTGAAGACCTTAGTAAGTTTCTGCTCTTCCTTGCCCTTCCACTGTCATATCTTCCCTATGTGACCTGTTTCTCACCTCCTTCCCTGCTTTCTACCTCTGCTGCCACTATATGACAAAACAGTCTCTCTTCCCCACTTACGCTTGTCTCTGCACTAGCGGTTCTCAATGTGGACTGGAGACATTTTCAAGAGGCAATGAAGTGACAACGCTTTTCCTAATAACACTTGACTTTTTCACTGTGTTGACACTTTGCACTGAGGGAATAAAAGCAAAGGAAGGTCAAACAGCTGGTGCCTTGCCCTACTCAGGACCAGCACCAAACAGTTCTAGCCATCAGTGGGCTCTTCACTGCTGACGGGTAATAGCAGGTGACGGAAATTCCAATTTCGTTCAAGGACATCCTTGATAGACATGGAAAATGAATCATTGGATTAAATCACAACCTCTGAGCCCCATAAAGACTATTTTCCTAATAGTGTGATGACGTGGAAAGCCACCCAACGAGTCCCCTGCTTCATACTGACGCTGAATACCATCTTCAGAAGGAACAGTCACAGAACTGAGTCTTGAGTCCCCAGCTGCCATATTCATGGAACACCATCTTTTACCTTCAAGGATAATTTCCAAAACATTTTCTTTAAAAATGAACAAAAGGAATCTGGCTTCCAGAAAAAAAAAAAACCTGATAATATTTACTGTCAATGATAAAATCGAAGCTTTCAAGAAAAACATCCAATTTTTGAAAATTCATCTCCTGCACTGTGAGTTGAGCATCTTCCCAAATTGTGTACATTTCTGATGAGATTGGTGGAGATATTAAGTGAGATTGGCATTCCTTTGAGAAAAATCACAAAACGCCGTGCTGTGGTTGAAGGAATAAAAATCAGCTCAAACAATACTCTGTAAAAATTAAACTTAACTACTTGCTTTTCTTGCTTCTGTACAAAAGCTTGTGCCACCGCCTTGAAAAACAGCCCTGAGCTATGCAAGCCACTGAGGCTTGCTCAGCCTCCTGCATACCAGCTCAGCTCCATGCAGAAAGCCAGATCCCTGCAAAAATGTATACCCCCTCCCCGAAATCAGTACCAGACCACCCTGAGTATCTAACCTGACCCAGTTGCAACATCTGCAAAATACCTTTGTAGCCCACTTGCGTAAATAACCCTCCTTGCCAGAGCCAGCAGAAAAAGATAACCATACTTAAAAGACCCTTATCTTATTTCCTCATTCCCCACTCCCCTCACCCTTCCAACTTGTGCCTATATAATCTATGTGTTTCTTTTGTTCGGGGCTCCACTTCCCTCTGAGTCTGTTGTGACCAGGAGTGGAGTCCTAGCGCGATAGCAATAAAGCCCTCTTGTGTTTTACAGCAAGAACTGACTCTTGTGGTTGATTGGGGTTGCCGTGACTCTCCTTGGACTGAAGGGTCACCGGCTATCTGAGTCGGGGGTCTTTCATGGTTAATTAGCACATGAGATTTGAGTCAAGTGCTGGTGTTGTCTGGGTACACACTGTTTCTCCTCAGGCAAATTCACCAAGCAGATCTGAGGGCAGAACCATGCCTGGAGTACACACTAAGCACAGGGTCTGCACACATTCATATTCCAAAATTTAACATTCATTTATAAAAATGGACTTTTTTTGGGATTCTTTAAAATCCTATTTTCCAAATCACGTTAACCATAAAAAGTCTTTTATTTAGTACCACCGCCTTCCATGGCAAGCTGTCATTTTCTTCTTCAAGCAGTCAGTAAATTCTTCATCATGATATAATTAGTGATTGGTTGGACAGAGATTCCAGCGTACCGATGGCTTGGGCTGTTTCTCACACTACCTGTGCTGTGAGATGCCATCTGACCATCTGATCCCTCTTCAATAAAAGACTTGCCCCAATAGCTAGAGTGCAGATCCTCTGAGGATGGTTTCAGCTGCAAAGAGATGCCTTAGTCAAGGTCATTCCCTGTGGGTGGGGTGGGGCTTGAGGACAGACAGCCAGTAACTGTCCAGTGTGGGAGTGCAGGAGATCGGGACACTGTGAAGGGCCATCCACACCCAGAGGCTGACGATGCTCCGCCTGCAGGGACACTCAATTTCTAATCGATCCTGCTTCCTTCTCCCTGCTTTCCATACAATGGAATTCCTAAGAGTGCTCCTTAACAAATAGCCCAACTCCACCTCCGAGGCTGCTTCCCGAGCAGCTCGGCCTCAGGCTACATACAGGTTGGCCGAGTAAGCCCTGGCTGCAGTGCTCGGGAACAGGAGGGCTTCAAGTTCTGGGTTATTTTGGACTGTGGAATATTCGCACATTCATAATGAACGATCTTGGGAACAGGGCTCAAGTCTGAACATGAAATTCATTTATGTTTCATCTGTACTTTTCACATGGAGCCTGACAGTAATTTTAAACAATATTGTTGTTGCAGCGTTTTGACTGTGACCCATCTCAGGAGGATGCGTCAGGTGATGGAAAAGAAGATGTAGAGCATTTCAGAGGTTTTGATTAAGGAGGCCCATCTGGCACTAGCCAGGCACAAGCAGCCTGCACTACAAATTCAAAGGGACATTTATCAGGTCATCTTCGAAAGCCACACTTAGCAGTGAGATTTAAGTGATCACAAACACTGAAACGAAAACCTAGTCCTCGGCTGTCGTCATGTTTTACATATTAACCTCATCACTCCGATGCAATACTACCACCATCCCAAGAGTTACCCGTAGCAATAACAGAATAAGATGAATTTTTGCAGATTCCAGAGCAGATTGGGAAAAACATTTTTATGCTGTTATGGACTTATACGTAAGTATAGTTACTTCAAAAGATATTTTTGAGAGTAAAATAATGAAGTCTTCATTCTAGCATTTGGAATGCCACAAACATACATGAGAACAATTGTTATAGGCTGTGTGCTGTGGTTACTAAGTAAGAGCTGCCCCATTCAAGTGCTATTGGGGCACCATGTTGTCTCCTGAGGCACAAGTAACTCAAAATTCTATTTGTTCTTTTGTCCCTGGTAAGAGCAATTGGCTCCAAGCAACTAGCGAAGAACCCAGCTACGTAACTTGTGCATTAACAATCTGGAGGTAATCTGTCAACAGAAGTGCCACGGCTGTTACCATGGGTTGTCACGATTTTGTTTGCATGGTCTCAGATGAAAAAGACCTGCAACTCCCTTATGCCCTCTGCTGGATTAAGGAAGTTTTAACCTATTTTCACTTCCTGGTATGTCCACTAGAACGTTCTTATCGGTCATAAAATATTCTCTTTCCTCTCGACTGCTCCTTATGTACCTAGTTAAAATGATGACTCGTCTTTCAAATGAGCAAATATAAAGCATTTGACAACATTCTTGTATTCAGGATTTCGGGTAATGTTGAACACTTCGCTTTTCCTTTAAAGTACAGAAAGAACTTGAGTAGCACAAAGACAATTGCAGAGGCTCATTTACTAAGCTCCTAGAAGTCAGAAACAAAGTCCCAAAGGAAACACTGTTCCAGAAGCTAATCCCCGCTGACAACCGCGTTTCCACTTAGCCTCCCCAGCCCATTAGTCTGCAGTTTTACAAATGGTTTGAAAACACAAACCACAGCCTCCCCCAGCATTACACAAGCCCAGATATCCTCCATGAAAACTTTCCTGGGCTAAGTTTAAATGAAAACGAGCTGACATCAGCTCTCATGGCAGATGGGTTGCCACGCAACTGAAACTCAGGCAGGGGCTGGAAGGGGAAAAGACAGAGGAGGGAATAATTTCGATTGTACATTTGGGTTGCAGGAATCAGTTCCAGTAAGTGCCATCTCTGAACTGATCCAAGGTTTCTTTGTGTGTAATTACCAGGAGTAAAATCAAGTGACTCTGGTGGCTTAACTATGTGATTAGCCAAAGCCGTGAGTGGGAACCAAAGAAAGATCACACACATCCTGGAGCTGGCTAGCAGTGAAGAAAAGGAAGGAAGAGAAACAGCTTTTTCCCATGGGCAGGTCTCTTTTTTCATAGAAACATTGACATATGTCTGCTTTTAAAAACTCTAAAGTGGGGGCCAGCAGAGGGCATAGTGGTTACATCGCTGTACTGCCACATGACCAATCGCAGTTCAAGTCCTGGACCCAGTGGCTTGAAAATCACAGTGAGCGCATGAGTGCGTGCCCAAGATCCTGGGAGAATGGAGGAGAAGGGATTGTGGTGTGGGGGGCTGATTTCTCACTTCTCTGTCTCTCTTCCTGTCATGCACATGTGCCCTAAGGCAAAAATCTCTTTAAAAAAAAATCTAAAGTAAACTACCCCCAGCTTCCCTTCCTGTCATCCTCCACTCCTTAGTTTTGACTTAATGAATACTTTCTAGTTAAGACTCCCCCAACCCCAGAGGTTTTTGCTATAGGGCGCATACACTTGCCAGAAAGACAGAGACAGAAAGTGAGAAATCACCCCCAAGGGTGGATGGCCACACCACAGTCCCTTCTCCTCCATTCTCTTCTCGGAATCTTGGGCACACACACACACACACACACATGCCCAGCATGAGTTTAAGCCACCAGGTCTAGGACTCAAATTGTGGTCGACTACATGAGCGTCCAGTGACCCAGCCATTATGCCAACTGCTGGTCCTTCTACTTAAGATTTTAATATTAGGCTTCATATAGGTACTGCAGTCTTGAGTTTAAGGAATTAATCCCATGTTATCCCCTCGGTTTG